CATTTTCTTTTCTAAATGAAGAAATTGTGCTGTAGCTTGCGGTTTCGAGTTACCCAGGTTTTGTTCGTAGTTAGAACGCATAGGCATTTTCACCACATAACGCCCGTTGCTCAATCGTTGGGTTGTTTCTGTGTAATATTTCTCACAGAATTCGTCTTCCGCAGTGTTTTCGGACTCCGAAGGGATGTCTTCTATTTCCCAAAATTTTGTTAGATTGTCTAGCTCTGTCAGCGTTACTAGACAGTTAAACTGCTTGGTAGCTCCGCTCAGTATCCAGCCCAACTTTGTCTGTTGTGCTACTGGCGAACCGTTGTTATGCTTAATTATTCCTGCTAAAATCACATCAGAGTAAATATCTGCTCCCAGCAGTAAATCTATGGGTCCAGAGACGTTGTAGTCTGGATCAGCTAACTCGATATTGTGAAGATGTGTCCAGTTCTCTGTGTTGATCGTTGAGTTTGGCAAATTGTTGATGAGTTTACTCATCACTAATGCCTCTGTTAGGAATGTATAATCAGAATGAATAGACTTGCATTCCAGTTTTATCATCCCTTTACTTTTGCCCATTATAGTGCCAATACCGGTGACAGCAGCGTTCATTTTATTACGGGGTAAGTTCAACCGTTGAGCAGCATTTTCTGTGACCAAGCTTACTTGAGAGCCTTGATCCAGTAACGCCCTAAGGATGACGTAATCTCCTTCCTTGTTTTTGACCCGTAATTGAATAGTCGTTAGGAGTATCTCTTGTTCACCATTAATGTGATTAGATGTCCGCTCAGCTGCCGTTGATGTTGTTGGCGTTGATTGTTGCCCTTTCAGATTGTCATCATGGAGAAGAGAGTGATGCCTGTAGTTGCACGTGCGGCATTTTTTCGTTGAGTTGCATTTACTTCCGCCGTGACTAAACAAGCAATTTTTGCATAAGTTTAGATTTCTTGTTGTTTTGTTTCGCGTTGCGACATCCATGTCCATGAATGTAGGACATTGCATCAGCTTGTGTTCATTTTTACACAGTGGACATTTCCTCAGCATTGCATGGAAGGTTTTTGTACACTTTTCTGCGTCTTTAAAGTTCGTTGACTTGTTGTAGTTATAATTTTTATGTTGGTTGTTTGATGAGTAGTTTTGTTTCCCGCCATTCTTCTTATTACGGGATGTTTCTAGAGTTATGAACTGCAATTCCAGGAACTCCATAAACTCTTCTAAGTCTGGGAGCTCTCTTGAATGTTTCATAGTTTTTATGTAGTCACCGTAAGTGACGTCATCCAATTTTGAGGATAGTAGATAGACGATAAGTGGGCCCCATACTGGGATATTAACGTCTATGTTTTCTAGGCCGTTTAAAACACTCTTTCGTTGTGTCATACAGCTTCTTCATGTTAGTAGAGTTTGGCTTTTCGATGGACGCTTGATTGAGAAGGGTTTCTATGTAGGAGGTGAAAATTAACCGCTTGTTGTCGTAGCGGTGCTGAATAATATTAAGACACGAGTCATAATTCTCAGCACTCACAGGAAGGTGCTTGATTAACTTTTCCGCCTCGCCTTTCAATTTAGACTTTAGGAACTTCATTTTCTGCGTTTTGTTCAGCGTTGGATTGTTATGAATCATCTCAAAGAATAAATCCCTGAAGGAGATCCAGTTATTGAAAGTACCGTTGAACTCCGGTAATTCCATACGTGGTGTTGTTTTTTCATAGTGGGATGTCTCAAAGATTTTTCTATTTAGCTCTTCCTTTAGGTTGTCGTAGACTTGCTCCCAATGGTCGAATTTTGCTTCATAGTCCTTGTCGTTCCCTTGCAGTAAGTAGCTTAGTTCCCAATGAATCTTGTCGATTGATTCCCATTTAGATCGTAATATGTTGACTTGATCTTGGAGTTGCCACTTCTCAGTCATGTCACCCAGATTAATTTTGGAGACCGCTCGCTTCAAAGCGTTGAAATTACACATTTGGTTGCGTAACAGGGTTGATAGATACTGATCCGTTTCATCCCCGATTTGTTGATGCACTCCAGTTGTGTCAAATTGCGGTGTTCCGGGAGTTTCTAGTATTTTCGGTTTTGATAAACCCGAAAATCCAGGTTCGTTTATCAACTTGGTTCGTAGTTGATTCATAGATTGCATTGTTTCGTCAAACATGCTTCTAGTGATAATAAATATGTCCTGCCTGAAGTAGTCATGGTCTCTTTGGGCAGATTCATACTTCTTCAAAATCTCGTGATTCGAGCGAAACTCATCCCACAGGGATTGTAACGCTTCGATACGTTTGTTAAGGTAGTCTATGGTTTTTCTACTCACAGCATCCTTTTTATAGTTGGTTTGAAGAGTTTTGATTTTCTCGTAGCTGTTTTGCTGTTTCGTTATAAGTTCAACGAATTCAGGGTAGTCTTCTGTCGACATTGTTTCTGCCTTGTGGCTGTTTGTGGATGGCGTGTAGTAAGTGAGTACTCACGAAGTTGAAGTAACAGCAGGACGTTATCCTCGCTGATTATTTCTTAGTTGAAGCAGTAGATGTAATCTCCGCCGATTGTTAAGTTGAAGTTGTAGCAGTAGACGTCTTCTCTGCTGGTTCGTTAGGTACAGGCACTCAGTGAAGCTCACCCTCCTTTACGTTATGTGCAACGTCTCAATGCTACTGGTGAGACCCGCTTGTGGGAGGCCAGTAACACCGATTTGCTAACGTAACTGGGATATACCTCACTTAGCACTCTGTTGATGTGGAGACACGACGACTTACTGGTTGGTATGCCGCGTGAACTCGTTGCTCGAAGGACCAAAAAGATGTTGGGGTTTTCTAGTCGTTGAGAGATACCCCGGTAGTTGTAGGAAAGTAGTAAGTTCACACCAAACCACTGTTATGTTTAATAGTTTAATTACGTTTAAGTTACGTATGTTTAGTTATCTGAGCCGCACTTGATGCAACGTTATTATTGATCGACCCGCTCGTGGCTGAGTTTTAGTGACGACTAAATTTATATTATAATAGAATTAATAAAGTACGTTTAGCGTAATTCATTACGTGCGCAAAACGTACTTTTGCTGTATGAGCATTATTGGCTCGTACACACCCTATTCTTTTTTAAATTATCACTCAAAAAATGTCCAGTGCGTCTCTTATAGGCTGCAAGTCCTAAGTCGTCTTTTAAAATACGCGACATGGTTCTAGGTGCTATCTTCATCTCCCGAGATAAAATCTTTTGCTTTCGGACAGGATTTCTTCGAATTCTTTCCCTTACTGCTTTGACTACCTTTTTCGTACGAACACTACGTGGACGGCCAGATCTTTTTCTGTCACAAATAGAGGAGGTCTCATTGTACCTATTAATAGCCCGGTATACAAACATTTGACAAATGCCAAGCGTGTGGAGAGTTTTAAAAATTGCATTTGGCTCCATACCCACTTTGTGTAATGCAATCACAGCGATTCGGTTCTCTTTATCACCCCACTCCATTTTAATATCGCAAAATATTGAACAATTTATTGGCGCCAAAATAAGAAAACACAATGAAAAATTATATAAAAATGACAGTACATGTAACATACAAATACATGCCAATGCCAAGTAAAACTATAATAGTGTAAAGAATATCTTTACACCTACATAGTGTTTTTTTTACTTTACACCTCTTGCTAGTTTGATGATTAGTAGGTACCTACCGATCAATATATTTTTCTAATACTGTTGTTGTTTGGTATTACTTGGCACCGACTTCAAAATTATAAAATAGTTATTGAATATTATTTCTATTTAACTAAATGAAAATATGTATTAGGGTACTTTGAACGAAGTAAACTGATTTTTTGCTTTTTAGTTTACTTTTTGAAGTCGGTTTTTTTTTGTTACATATTATTTTATTTCACCATGTTAAGTGATAGGCACAGAAAGCTAGGATGCTTCTCGAAAGAGAACGACGGCTACTTGAGACCAAAAATGACAGTAATGGTAGTCCTGCGTTACTCAGCTTTCAGTGCTGTAAATCGTTGAGGAATTCCCTTGAATGTCAATGGCCTCCATCATCAGGTATACTGCACACCTTCATTATACATAATCTATATAGGTGCAAAGTTCTCATCAGTATAAATGAATTAAGTCCAAACACATTATAATTACTCCATAGTCAAAGAGATCCCACGACGGTCTTCCGGCTCCATCATCACGATTTACTGCATAACTTCATTATAATCCATAACGGTGCAAAGTTTTCATCGATATAAATGAATTAAGTCCAAACACGAGGTAGTTACTGTGGAAGGCGGTTAAAAATGACAGATTCTAAATTCATATGTAATATTTTGTTTATTTTCAATTGAACAGTATTTATGGCCAGACTATGTATAGATAAACTAGAACAAATGTGTAGGGTACCTCTCGTCGTTCGAATTCCCATTTCCCAAGCTCGACTCGCCCGTTAGGTACGACAAACAAATAGGTACACAGCTTGTCAATTCAAGTTGGTTTTATGTGTTCGTCTTTTTTTATAAAATACCTGAATAAAATCATACGAAAATTTATTGAAATAATGTCACAGAGTAGGTAATAGGTATGCCCATTCCGAATGGCCCGCTACCTCAGCATATTAGCTAGCTTATGTTGAGCGCGGTAACACTGAAATTCCGAGGTGAAAGTAGGTAGCTCGAAAAATGTTGATGTATCTTTATAGTCCTCTGCAAACCTACCAAACCGGGGCCAGAGTACAATAGCTCCCCGCAAGCTGTTTCATTGTTGATTGCTCAGAACAATCCGACGTTTTATTGTTTTCAAACTGCCAATGTATTTAATTAAATAATATCTCGTTGATTACGTTAATTTATTTAAGGACACTCAAAGCTTTCAACCGCTGAATCACAAAACAAAAAATATGAACATCTCTTAGGAAAATAGTATAATTGTAATAGTTTACATTTTTTTTAAAATACACCTTCAATTAGCTGGGCTATTTTGTATGGTAAGGCGCGGGTCGCTAACTACAAAGGTAGATGATCAAAGAGGTTGCGTTGCAGGTGTACTACGTGACATAAAGCGACGTTACCCCTACTATTTGTCGGATTTCCGCGACGCGCTGAATGGGCAGTGTGTCGCAGCCACCATCTTCATGTACTTCGCGGCGCTCTCCTCCGCGATCACGTTCGGCGGTCTGCTAGCCGAGAAGACCTATGGCAGTATCGGCATCTCTGAGACTTTGGTAAGTAGATTGTCCAATGTCCCATAGAGGTGTGCCACCATGTAAAATATAGTGAGCGCGACTGTTGCCGCAGGTGTTCACGTGCGCAGGCGGCGTGCTGTTCGCGCTGGCGGCGGGGCAGCCCATGATGATCACGGGGGCCACGGGCCCGCTGCTGCTGCTGGACGAATCGCTCGCCAACTTCTGCCACTCGAACAAGTTCGACTTCCTGACGGCACGTATGTACTGCGGCCTCTGGATGATTGTCATCGCACTCGCCGTCGCCTCTGCGGAAGGCAGTGTGGCCGTCAAGAAGATCACCAGGTTTCACAAATCTCCTTATTAATGGCATATACTATAGTGTAACATTACTGTATAACCTGGTCGAAACGTCAAACCTTCTAAGCTACTTACCTAATAATTATTTTTCGCGTTAATATCCGCGTTCGTTACTTACTTTTAGTAAGTACAACTCAAAAAAAACTTTGTTGGCAGTCATTATGCCACGCGAGCAAAGTTGTTCTTTTTCCTTTTCATATTTCTAGTCATCAGTCCTTTTCCGTTCATCAGTTTCTTTAATAGCATTTTATTCGGTCTTTGGGTGTGTTTTTGCACGCGGATGTTATTTATCGTAGTTTCCATAGTCACATCGCGTACTGAGCTGCTGGTGTGTGTACACAGGTTCACTGAGGATATCTTCGCCTTCCTGATCTCTCTGATCTTTATCGGGGAGCCGGTGACCAGCCTCATCAACGTATTCCGCGCCCATCCGCTCGGCATAGACTATGCCGCAGCCGCCGCCAACGTGACGGTTATCGCCAACACCACGCTGCCAGGTGGTAACCCATTCACACCCCATCTTTGCATGCCATAGACTTGGTTTTGCAATGCAAGTACTACTCTAAGCTCGATGCAGCTGGCACCTTATAGAATACTTACCTGTAGCAGGCAACGCGACGCTGGCGCCGGCTGCGGGCGCGCGCATGCCGCCGCAGCCCAACACGGCGCTGTGGTGCACCATGCTGACGCTGTCCACCTTCATCATTGCCTACTATTTACGCATTTTCCGCAACGGCAAGTTCCTCGGCCGCAGTGTGAGTATTGACTTGCTGGGTAGTCCCTTCACAGCTTTACTTCCATAGTTATAGCTTATTAATATCGATAGAAAAATGAAATAAATTTATCTCTGCCTTAGTATAATATTACGATAATGGACAAGTACAGTACTGTATGCACGTGTGCAAATAACGGAGATGTGCCCACAGGCACGGCGCGCTCTCGGCGACTTCGGCGTGCCCATCGCGATCGTGCTGATGGTGGGCGTGTCGTGCGCGGTGCCCGTGTGGACCGAGACGCTGCGCGTGCCCGAGGGGCTCAGCCCCACGGCGCCGCGCTCCTGGTTCGTGCCGCTTAACGACGGGCTCAGCACCATTCCCACGTGGGCCGCCTTCGCGATGGGTCTTCCTGCTCTCATGGTCTACATCATCGTCTTCATGGAGACCCATATAGCCGAGTGAGTACGTGGTACCACCAGGTTTCAGGCGCTCGCGAATTTATTCAACCAGAGCTTCAGAAGGTTTACAAAAACTTGTAAACCTTCATTAACAGACTTTCTCGGAAGGTTTTCTTTATTGAAAGGCTGGCGGCGTATGCTATGTATACATGACTCACATGGTGACCATGACCTTTGTGCCTTTTCTCCCAATCCTATTAAAAAATTGTTGGTATGGTCATCCATCACTCAAACGAGTAGATAGCATTGGATCACATCTGGACATGATGTTACCAATGAGTCATACATACGCATGTGTGTGTGTAGATTATGTTGCAAAGTTTACTCACTATGCTTGGTATTTATGACCAAGTACGCCTTGCGAAGTATTTATTTGATAAGCTCAGTTCATATATGAATATAATAAAATAATTATGTACGCGATGCTGTGAGGCTTGCGCTCGTGTCTAGTTTAATGACTCACAAGTATATTTGTTCATTTAGTATTACCTGCAACCAACATCTACAACAAATAGGTATAACGACGATAAACTTAAGAACATGAAGCTAAATGTCTTCTGAATGTCTCTGTATATGTAATTTACTTAGGTATATATTTATGGAAGCGTGCGTATTTAAGATGGCCTCTGATAAAATGATCATAGAATCATAAGAATGATCAACATTGTTATGATTCTACGATCGTTCTTGCAACAGCCCACAAGTCTTATAATAACACATTATTTATGCCGCAATCTGCTCAATGTGCACGTTAAATAAAAGTTAAAGTTATTAAATAAGGCACGCGCTGCCTACTAGAAGAGATGAAATAGGGACTGGCACGCGCTGCCTACTAAGTAGAAGAGATGAAATAGGGACTGGCACGCGCTGCCTACTAAGTAGAAGAGATGAAATAGGGACTGGCACGCGCTGCCTACTAAGTAGAAGAGATGAAATAGGGTCTGGCACGCGCTGCCTACTAAGTAGAAGAGATGAAATAGGGTCTGGCACGCGCTGCCTACTAGAAGAGATGAAATAGGGACTGGCACGCGCTGCCTACTAAGTAGAAGAGATGAAATAGGGACTGGCACGCGCTGCCTACTAAGTAGAAGAGATGAAATAGGGACTGGCACGCGCTGCCTACTAAGTAGAAGAGATGAAATAGGGACTGGCACGCGCTGCCTACTAAGTAGAAGAGATGAAATAGGGACTGGCACGCGCTGCCTACTAAGTAGAAGAGATGAAATAGGGACTGGCACGCGCTGCCTACTAGAAGAGATGAAATAGGGACTGGCACGCGCTGCCTACTAAGTAGAAGAGATGAAATAGGGACTGGCACGCGCTGCCTACTAAGTAGAAGAGATGAAATAGGGACTGGCACGCGCTGCCTACTAAGTAGAAGAGATGAAATAGGGACTGGCACGCGCTGCCTACTAAGTAGAAGAGATGAAATAGGGACTGGCACGCGCTGCCTACTGAAACAATGAAACAATGAAACAATGAATTTATTTTTGCAAATAGGCCTTAAAACGGCACTTTTACACGTCAAATTATATGTGAAAAACTAGATGAAGCCGGCATTTCCTATCTGACTACTCTGAGAAGAAATGCCGAAACAAACTCAGAGGTCAGTCTCTTTTCAAGTCCAGACAATATAAAATAACATAATGTGAGAGAACCGTGCAAGTTCATTCTGTAGTGGTCTTTTGAGGAAAGAACCACACCAGTTTAAGTGGACCCGTTCTGAAGACAGGCACGCAAGTGTCAGTTTGCAACCATATAGCTAGTGCTGTTGAGTTGTCCGACGAACAATACCGATCAAAAGAACATTTGGGTGGGTCGCACAAGTACTCAAACTGTCAGAACGCAGATGACTGGTGATAAAAAAGCACGACAAGTCTCACACGGTCCTTACACTAACAATAATATAAAATAATAAAAATGTCAACAAATAAATAAAAAAAAATGTCAAATAAAAAATAAAAATGTCACAATAGGTGATCATGTCATTGTATAAAAAAAAAAAATATAAAAATAATGTCAAATTGTATATAAAAGTGTAACTTATGTTACAAACATGTCAACATGACCTGTGCAGACATTACAGCGGCTCATTCCCAAGCCTGACTATCCTCTAAGTAGTCTTTTATTTTATAAAATGCTTTACAGCAAAGTTTAGCCTTTATTACACTTTTAAATTTATTGAGGCTCAAATTTTGAATATCGCTAGGAATTTTATTGTAAAAGCGTATACATTGACACCTAAACGAACTACTTATTTTCTGAAGCCTGGAGGCAGGCACAACATATTTGTTTTTCCCCCTCGTGTTGATATTATGTATATCACTATATTTCTTAAATAAGCTTTTGTTTTTATGAGCGTGAATTACATTTTCATAAATATATTGAGAGGCAACTGTCATTATTTTAGATTCCTTAAATAATTCTCTGAGCGAATGCCTCGGACTAAGATTATAGATTGATCGAATAGCCCTTTTCTGCAGAACAAAAATAGACTGGATGTCAGCAGCATTCCCCCACAACAAAATACCGTATGACATGATGCTGTGGAAATAACCAAAATAAACTAACCGCGCTGTATCTATATCTGTTAAATTTCTAATTTTTTTAACGGCATATGCTGCAGAACTGAGCTTCTTCGACAAGCCATCTATATGTGGGCCCCACTGGAGCTTAGCGTCCAGGGTTATACCTAAAAAGACAGTTGTATCTACAGGACTCAACTCCTCGCCCTTGACAAGCACACTGGTTTTTATCTGTTTAACATTTGGTGTTGTGAATTTAATACATTTAGTTTTAGTTTCGTTTAGTAATAAGTTATTCACACCAAACCAGTGAACTATTTCTGAGAGAGCACTGTTTACATTGTCAATTAATGATTGTCGTCGTCTGAGTTTGAATAATAGTGAGGTATCATCAGCAAACAGCACTATCTCGTGTTTATCCCTTACAAGGTAAGGCAAGTCATTAATATAGATAAGAAATAAAAACGGGCCGAGAATAGAACCCTGCGGAACACCCATCTTCACAACAGACCCGGCAGAAACCATTCCGTTTACTTCGACTCTCTGAACCCTATTACTCAGGTATGAGGTAAGAAGGTCCAGAGATGCACCTCTAATTCCGTAATGGGAAAGCTTCCTGATCAGTGTATCATGAAGCACACAATCGAACGCCTTGGATAAATCACAAAATATTCCCAAAGCGTCGCTTGAGTCCTCCCATGCGTCGTAAATATGATTAAGAAGTTCAACACCGGCATCAGTTGTTGAACGACCCCTTGTAAATCCGAACTGCTTCGCATGTAATAATTTATTTCTATTAAAAAATCTTTGCATTTGATCTAAAATGATTTTTTCAAAAATTTTACTGAACGTAGGTAGTACTGAAATAGGTCTAAAGTTAGTGGGGTCAGAAGTACTACCTGATTTAAATAATGGAATTATTTTACTACATTTCATAAGATCAGGAAACACACCACAGTCAATACAGTTATTAAAGATTTGAGCCAATACAGGTGCTACAATAGTTATTACAGAGCTTGTAATGTACACAGAATTACCCCATAGATCTGCAGTCTTTTTGTTATTCAAAGTATTAAAGATTTTAACAATGTCTTTGTTATCTATGTGTTTGAAGGAAAACCCTGAATCGCAAGCTACAACATGTTCTTTGAGTAAAGACTCTGCAACAGTGGGAGATGAATTCAGTGACTTTGTAGTGGATACAGGAATGTCGGAAAAGAAATGTTCAAAAGCAGTTGCAATGGCAATGGCACGCGCTGCCTACTAGAAGAGATGAAATAGGGACTGGCACGCGCTGCCTACTAAGTAGAAGAGATGAAATAGGGACTGGCACGCGCTGCCTACTAAGTAGAAGAGATGAAATAGGGTCTGGCACGCGCTGCCTACTAGAAGAGATGAAATAGGGACTGGCACGCGCTGCCTACTAAGTAGAAGAGATGAAATAGGGACTGGCACGCGCTGCCTACTAAGTAGAAGAGATGAAATAGGGACTGGCACGCGCTGCCTACTAAGTAGAAGAGATGAAATAGGGTCTGGCACGCGCTGCCTACTAGAAGAGATGAAATAGGGACTGGCACGCGCTGCCTACTAAGTAGAAGAGATGAAATAGGGACTGGCACGCGCTGCCTACTAAGTAGAAGAGATGAAATAGGGACTGGCACGCGCTGCCTACTAAGTAGAAGAGATGAAATAGGGACTGGCACGCGCTGCCTACTAAGTAGAAGAGATGAAATAGGGACTGGCACGCGCTGCCTACTAAGTAGAAGAGATGAAATAGGGACTGGCACGCGCTGCCTACTAAATAGAAGAGATGAAATAGGGTCTGGCACGCGCTGCCTACTAGAAGAGATGAAATAGGGACTGGCACGCGCTGCCTACTAAGTAGAAGAGATGAAATAGGGACTGGCACGCGCTGCCTACTAAGTAGAAGAGATGAAATAGGGACTGGCACGCGCTGCCTACTAAGTAGAAGAGATGAAATAGGGTCTGGCACGCGCTGCCTACTAGAAGAGATGAAATAGGGACTGGCACGCGCTGCCTACTAAGTAGAAGAGATGAAATAGGGACTGGCACGCGCTGCCTACTAAGTAGAAGAGATGAAATAGGGACTGGCACGCGCTGCCTACTAAGTAGAAGAGATGAAATAGGGACTGGCACGCGCTGCCTACTAAGTAGAAGAGATGAAATAGGGACTGGCACGCGCTGCCTACTAAGTAGAAGAGATGAAATAGGGACTGGCACGCGCTGCCTACTAAGTAGAAGAGATGAAATAGGGTCTGGCACGCGCTGCCTACTAGAAGAGATGAAATAGGGACTGGCACGCGCTGCCTACTAAGTAGAAGAGATGAAATAGGGACTGGCACGCGCTGCCTACTAAGTAGAAGAGATGAAATGAATGAAAAGTTTAAGTAGGTTTTTGAAGAGTAACGTTTTTCCAAGTAGTTGTCAGTAGTCGATCAAGCTCTGGGAGTGCAGTCTCTGGCATTACAAACGTTACATTATGTTGGAAAATTAAAATGTCTCATTAGGTGTAGTTTATAACCGTAGATCCTGGCTTACACAAAAAAGTAGTCATTTACATAAATATGATGCAGATGCGATTGCAGAAAATATCTTCTTGTTATTTACTGAGCATAACAAAATGAAATTAAGTAAACAAGAGTGATGAAGTTACATTAATTAATAAATGTGGTTTGGGTCTGAAACAGGTTGATTATTGACAAGCCGGAGCGAAAATTGAAAAAGGGCAGCGGTTTCCACATGGACATTGTGATCATGTCGGCGGTGAACGCCATGTGCGGCCTGTTCGGTGCGCCGTGGCAGTGCGTGGCCACCGTGCGCTCTGTCAGCCACGTGTCTGCGCTCACCATCATGTCCACCACACACGCCCCTGGTGACAAGCCGCACATCGTCGAGGTCAAAGGTAACGAACGTCCCACCCCTTGCTTACCACAACATTTTAATATTCATTACGAATATATCAATCGTATGGCATAACATGACACCTGACTATAAACCAGTAGGGTCTTTTAAAGGAGGCAGGTGTCGACCATGTGCCAATTCAGAAATACGGAATACAGAAACAACTCAAGTAAACAATGATGCTGAATGATATAAGCATAGAAAGTGTTCGTGATAAGAAGTACAAGAATGTTAGCTTTTGAATAGTAGGCAGTGGTCAGTAAAAGAAGAACAAGAATTGACGGCGGCACTCGTGTTACAGAGCAGAGGCTGACGGGGCTGCTGGTGGCGCTGCTGGTGGGCATCTCCGTGCTGGCAGCGCGCTGGCTGCGCCTTGTACCCATGGCCGTTCTGTTCGGAGTCTTTCTATACATGGGGATATCAGCACTCGGCGGAATCCAGTTCTGGGACCGCTGCATTCTCTTACTAAAGCCTGTCAAACACCATCCGCAAGTTCCTTACGTCAGGCGGGTTAGTAATTATTATTTTAATGCACAAGAAATGGAAATTGTAGTTGTCGCAGTGAAGGGTGGCAGTGACTACAGTGGCGTGTCTTGCAGGTGCCGACGCTGAAGATGCACTTGTACACCCTGATCCAGGCAGCGGGCCTAGCCGTGCTGTACGCTGTCAAGTCGTCGCGGTTCTCGCTAGCCATGCCATTCTTTTTGGTGATGATGGTGCCACTACGCATGTCCCTCGCCTACGTTTTCACGCCGCTGCAACTCCGAGCGGTCAGTAAGCCGATATCATACAATTTGTACAATCGAGTGTACTGGCCGTATTTACACCGTTCTTATTATTATATTGTAGTTGGATGGCGCGCAAAAAGAGATCGACAAGGACGACGAACCCGACTTCTACGAGGAGGCGCCGCTGCCGGGCTAGAGACCGGGCGCGCGCACAAACACTACGCCTGGGACTTTGTTATTTCTTCCTTGGTGTCTACACTATTTGTTTACTCTCTGTGATGATTTGTATAAAAGTTGTGTATATTTCGAAATAATGGCAGTCAGACTGCGCTAATATATTTTCATGCTATAGACTTACAGGTACGTTGTTATAATACGAAAAAGGATTCAGTTGTATGCCTGCGCTAGCCCCACCATGGTTGGTGCAACCAAAGAGTAATATTTTATTTACACGTATACATCTCCGAACGTTTAATATAACTCGGGAACGATATTTGTCGTAAGGTTCGACTATACGTCTCCCTCGCAGGGAACCAGCGCGAACTCGTGGCACGCAAGCGGAACCCGTCACTGGGCGGCTTGCAGGTGCCACCCAGTGGCCAGTTAGAGCAGGATCACTACCATTTCATGAATTTTGGTCTTCAGTCCTACTTATGTACATTGTACAGTATTAATTTATGCTTAGTTACCATCGATACGTAACATAATTAATGATAAGAACCATTGTGATAAGTTCATTGATTTTAAGTGAATATGATGAATGACAGGGTCATACAGGTAATGTTTATTATTTGCAGAATTAGTAATTTGTTGTTGCGCTTCGTCTCGCTCGGGTAAAAATAATAAACAAATGTGTAACATTGGAAAGAGGAAACACCATTGTTGTAGGCGTGGCCAGCCGGCAGCATTGGATGAAGAGTGTACCAAGGTGCATGATGCTCATCGCTCCTCCACTTAATAAAGAAAGTAGTGAACGAATACTTGTTAATCCGAATACTAGCCCGTCAGAGATAGAGCACGCTGCCACACGCAGGTGTATTCAAGCGTTGAAATGATAAATTATTCTAGGTATACCGAAACTAATTATTAGTACGGAGTAGACCTTCAGGTCGGCAGCCGCGTGTGTAGTCACTCAAACATGTACCTCCTCTCTATAGCCCTATCTACACGGAAAAAAAACATGTCGTGATATGCCTTGCTACGCATATAGCTTGATGCCAATATTAATGTGTACCTTAAGTATGTATATGTATTATTGTAATTAATTGACAATGACACAAAGTGTCGTTACTTACGCGATTTTAATTCCATTAGGGTGTATTCGTGCCGGTGGGTGGCGCGACGAGGCTGGAAGAAGCCACTTAAATAAACACATACATCGCATTAAATGTACTTAAGTATATTTGTTCATGTAGAAAGTAAGGTATGTCGGTGTGAGCCGACCCTTATGTGTTACCGTCGCGTCGCTGTGGTACCTTGTAGGTACTTGATCAATGTGTCTTTTTATTTATGAAGTAGGTATAAGTAGTACTAGCAATCTTTACAAAAGATGTAGGTAGTAGTTCCTAGTAGAAATAAGTAGGCTAGCAATCAATGTTCTCGATCCGCACAAATTCCAAGGACGTGTAATTGTTTGTATTTCAGAAATATGTGTGTAGGCAGGTACATAGGACCACAAGTACTTAATGCCGGCAGCTGCTAGTCGCTGATCATTAATACCGGCCGCAGTCGTGGCTGTCATCATTTCCAGTCATTCTTATTAAGGTTAAACTTTGATACGAAGTCAGACCTTAATACCTATTTTGCGACGTTAACGACTACCAGTAGGTACCAAATAGAGCAAGTGGCCCTATATCGCGATATTTAGAATAAAAGTTAGACAAAAAAGTGCCCAAAATTAGACAGAATAGTCAGTCTAGTCAGTCAATATAAACCGAAATATGCTTCTTCAGCCAAACTACCTAAATAAGAAAATTACAGAGCGTTAATTATTGCACATAAAATCAGTAGTAATTAGCATAGCCACGTATCTAGTATCTATGTTTAAACTAATAAGCTGCAACGAGATCACACATACGGTGGGCAAGTTGCCTGCCATCGTACCTTCTACTGTCGGGTACTGTCATGGCAGGTACTGTGTACTTTATCAATGTACGACTTACTGTGTCATACACTTAAAGAATGTAGCTACATATTATCTACAATACCTAATTTGCAGGCTTCAGGCTGATAACTTAAGTATGTATGTTACATGGTGTAGGAGGGCTAATGGTTCCCCTTTCTTTCCTTCCGTAAGGTTGCCTCTCATCAAGCTAGCGGGCCGATGACCTGTGAACATTCCTCCATTCGTATCTTATAAGCACTTATTATGTTGAATATATAAATACTGTCTAGAAGCTCGGCTAAATCTAAACGTAAGGAACATCAAAGGTCCTTATTACTGCTTATTAAAAAAAAAAAACACATGAAAAATTTGCCACCCATTTCAAATGTAACTAGGTGCACTAGGTAATCTAAAACTATAGATAATCCCAATGAAACTATTGAATGTGAAGGGTTCGTTTGTGTATGTTATATCTTACGTAAAGCAGTGATATTATGTTTGTCAAAATGACATCAGGTTCGTAATTTTTCAAGGTTATAGTTTTTTGTTGTAGTTACAGTAGGACGAACGCATTGTACGCGTCGCTATACAGCAGTCGCAGACCATGCCGACTGCGGACCCTGGACTATACATATAGTCCAAAAGCTATTAAACAATTCTTGTTTAAGCGCTCAATACGTAGCAACTCTCATTTTGGCAGCATACACAACGTAACATTAGAAAGCCCGCACTACTTGTCATGAAACTCGTTTAGTTGAACAACCTCGCGCTTTGGTTCTCGGTACAGCAGGGAATCGAGGCCTATGCGGAGCATGCACCCATACACCCAGTTCCGTCCTGCTGCAGTTTAGTAAAAATGTGCTATAACTAGTGTGTAATGATATTGAAGACTTTAGCTGTAAGATTATAAAGTAGGCTCGGTATGGTAATGTTATAAGTTGAACCAATTCATTGTTATTGTTTTTGTTGAATAACTTAAATAAACTGTTTATAACGTTAATTTGCGTTTATTTTATTACTAGCGAACCTCCCCGGCTTCGCACGACAGGAAATTCATTTTTTAAGTTTTCTGAAATAAAAAATGTTTTGTATGTATGTTTTTATAGGTATTTTTTATTCGTGTTACATTACTTTGTTTCGTACCTGCTTAAATCGATTATTTTTGTTTTTAATTTTAACGACTTTACTTACCTCAAAAGTCACTATACACTATAGTCGCAGTAGTATTTGTAGATGGCATTAAAACATATTGGTTTTCAGGAGATCCTACTCGAGAAAGTGCAACGTACATATAATTGGCCATTAGAAAAGCACTCCTTCCTGAGATCGATGCCTACCATTGAAAAAGTTTGACCCTGCGATTTATTTATTATCAGGGCAAACGGTACCTTGATGGGAAACTGTAATCTTGATACTTGATAATAGGCAAATAATCTGTCGGTATCATCGGGGTCCGCGGGATGTGAGCGAGCTGTCCAGCCGCCGGGCCGGTGATGATGGTCGCTACACTCAATACAATCACATCACATGGGCTCGCAATTCTTATCAAAAGTCTTGTCCCATTGCACATATTAGGAGGGCTTCAATTTCTTAATAGCATAATGGGCGTAGACCTACTTTTAATTTCAGTTCGTGGGGTGGCAAGCCCCACGAACTAAAATTAAACAAGGGACCTTGTTGGCCTTGAAGAAGTTTGCGTCATACCGCACCTATTGTCACCCTACCAGCCCAGACAGGGGCCCCGCAGCACACACATCCTAGGTAGGGAGCTCCGTAGATGGTCTTAAGCGTGGGATAAGAGAGACCCCATGTACCTATGCAACCCTGGGCAGGAGAAGTCATTTGATGATTTTCCCCTCACAAAAAAAGTATTTTTCGAGATTCGCGTCAGCGCATAATAGTTATTTTTGGGTTTCTCACTGATAATGAATGTACATTAGTGTCGTAGACAGCATTTCTAGAAATGCTTTTTTGTGCGAAGACATTTCCAGGGCCTTACACACCACCCAAAAGGCCCACTTCAACGGTGTTATGGGAGATTTCAATGCTAAAATGGGAGTACAGAATAGCGGCGAGTCGGTGGTAGGGCCACATGGTTTTGGAAGCAGGAATCATAGGGGGCAAATGCTCGTTAACTTCCTGGAAAAAGAGGGGATATTTTTGATAAACTCCTTCTTAAAAGAAGCATCCCCAACGGAAGTGGACGTCGTAGAGCCCCGACGCTATGACAAAGTTAATGAAATAGACTTCATTATGACGAACAAGAGACGAATATTTAGAGATGTCTCAGTGATTCGGTTTAATCGGTGATCACCGACTTGTGCGAGGTACTCTAAACTTCAAATATGACTCCGAGCGTGTCCGTCTCATGAAGTCTACGCTCCGATCAAACTTGCTCCAAGCCGTAGCTGGGTCTGAAACATTTCAGTTAACTGGAACACTGGAAAACAGATTTGCTGCCTTGGAAACTACCAATGAAACTAATATCGACCAGGAACTTGACCAAACACTAAGGATCCTCTGAGACAAAGCAAATCGCGCTGAGCTTTTGGGAGAGTGCCTACAGATAATGGAGGGCATAACAACAACCCGTCAGTCGCTTCATCAGATCTTAATAAAAGGATCTCAAAGCTGATAAGACGTAATCTCCGATGCGCCAATACCCGCGCTGTAAAAGAAGCGATTGAGCGAAACCGAGGGTCAAAAGTCTTCAGCCAGCAACTGAGTCGAAGCCGTCTGACGAAGTTGACCACACCGAATGGAAATATCGTCTCTTCTGAGCTGGAAATTATCGAGGAAGTTCGGCGCTCCTACGGTGATTTTGTACGCATTAAAAGCACCGCGTCCTTATCCAGACTCGGGGGATCCTAGGGCCACACTTATCCACCACTTTACCGAAGAGATGCCAGAGATCTGCCAAGACGAGACTGCGTTGGCTTTGGGGCAAATTAAAAATGGAAAGGTGATTTTGCGTGGGGCAAAAGTGTCGTCATTATGTTCTTCAAAAAGGGAGACAGAACCCTTCTGCAGAACTACCGACCTATTTTTCTTCTGAGCCACGTCAATAAGCTGTTTTCCAGGGCAAATCGTCTCGCGCGAAGACTCGGCGAGTTTCAGCCCGCTAACCAGGCCGGGTTCCGAGGGGAATATGGTACTGTAGTAGTGAGGCAGATTGTACAGAAAACCGAAGAGTATAATCTGCCCTTATGCCTGGCGTTTTTGAACTACGAGAAAGCCTTTGATACTATTGAAACCTGGGTTGTTCTGAAGTCCTTGCAACGTTCAGGTGTTGAGAGATCTATATGATGCTACCACAATAGTCGTTCAAGTACAGAACCAGCAGTCTAAACCTATCCACCTGCATCGGGGGGTAAGACAGGGGGACGTTATTTCCCCCAAACTGTTTACTAATGCTTTGGAGGATATGTTCAAGACGCCCCATTATGCAATTGTGTATAAAGAATAAATAATTAAATAATTATATGGCGACAGTCAAACAAGATGCAAGACATTCTGAAATAAAATATAATATAAAGTAGGATGCGATGAAGGTTGCATCCCGAGCCACCCACTGTTTAATGTAGGAAAAAAAACATTTAATAATTACACCCGTCCCTGCAGGTCCCTCTCTCTTTCCAACCTTCTATTTACGTTGAATTTAAAGTGGTTATATCAATGATCGAGGTACAAGTAAAGCTAAGGTCCAAATCGATGGCAACGCCCAGCGCGGCAGCAAAAGGAACGTTTATTGAACCGCCACTTCGTCCTTCTAGATAGGTAAAGGTAGGTAGTCTCGATCTAATAGTAATAGTAGGGCGCTCCACGGTGGATGCCATCAGGCGCGTGAGGGCCCTCACGACGAGGACTGCGTTAGCCAGGGGCGTGTCGTCGTGATGGTGTCTCTAGATATTGCCAATGCCTTAACTCGTATTCTAGAGGCGCTCCTCTATCACCGGGTGCCTGCCTACCTTCTTTAAATAGTCGAGGTTTATTTGATGGGCAGATTCAGATGTCGCGTTGATGGAGCATACGGCGGAGGTGGGCCCTGCTTGGGCTGAGCACGTGCACTCAAAGGGCCTGCAGACGGGGCCCTACAGGGCTGATGTTGTAAGTCCTACGAGGCGCCGCGGCCTCGGCCTATAGCTGGAGAAGGAACGGAAGTTTTTGGTCAGTAAGAGTCTGACACTCTCTCTCGCCTTACCCTGGGCAGGAGAAGTTATTTGTTGTATTTACCCTGCTATAAAAAGTTACGTGTTTACTAAAAATTCAGTTTTTCTTTCGATTTTAGATATCTAAACGCCCATTGTTCTTAATAAAAACAAAATTCTGAGTAAGGTCTTTGGTTTTTCCATAAATCAAATAAGTAGGTATGTAAAGCGATTTTAATGGTTATTAGACTCTTGCAGCCGTAGGGCCGCATTAACGAATCTATCAATGTCCATCCACGACATAGGTGTACCTATTGCAATTATTTTGAAATTTAAGCATGGTCCTAAAAGGCCAAATTGAGTTTATTGAGCGCGTTTAGCCAAACGGCAATGTATTATGGAATTCGCAATTCAAGTGGTCGTTGGTCTATACGAAAACTAATTTTCTTTACTGGCATCGTTTATCATGTTTTAGTATTTTAATTAAATACAATAAGCCATCAATAAGCCAGATAAAAAATATGATTTTATTTCAACAATGTTGCTATTTAAAATAACTAAAATACATAAGTGCTGCCCTCGTCAACTGACTTGCTAAACTAAAAAATCGACGTCAAACAAACATGTCAGTCACATAATGGCGGAGGTTGTGTTATTTTTTGTGAAAAGATAATGCCTAAATGTGTTTGAAAAATTAACTGAGCGACAGCATGCTCTCTCTTTAGTTTATTAAAATCGTATTAAAAGACAAAATAAACGTAAGCATTTAGTGATAAAAGTAATGTTGCCATAAGTATGGAAGTAATGAACATTGCGTCGGAAGTGTTATTGAATTAGCTCGTAAAGTAGGAGTGCGGTGCAGGGCGGCGCCGGTTAGTTGCCACCATGGGGGCACAGCAGGCGAAAGAACGCGGCACGGCCAGTGGTGCGTCCATGCGGTCGGCCAGGAGCAAGCCGCGCGTGCCCAAGGACCCCCGCATGCTCGGCTCGAACATTTTCACAGAACATAGCGGTGAGTTACTCGGTGCCTTCTTTCAGTCATATTATTCGATTATTTCAGAACGTTTTAATATGTATGATTCAGGAGTCTTATTTAGTCAAGATATTTGATGTATATGTTCAAATACTATTAGAATTTTAATTCTGATATCAGAAAGGAACTAAAGGATCCATTCAATACAGAATTTGATAGACAAATGTTTATTATCTTCTTTTAAAAATTTAAAACAGCAACTAAAAGGTGTACATATGTTAAAATCATTATCATTTGAAAGTCATAGTTTAGTATCCATATGATCCACAGATGGTTATGGATAATATAAAACAATGGCAAAGTGTACTAATGTAGCATATCAATACAGTAGTCTTGTATACAGAGTCACACACACACACACACAGATTGTGGATTGTCGTATAATCATTGTGAATACACAGACACAACCTTTCTTGTCCCATCGCTTGCATAAAGTGGTACAAACTTTTTGTAAATAATAACAAGTTGTAGTTGCTAATGTACTTTTGGATAATGTATGTGAATGTGAATGACCAGTAACATTTTATATCATACTGCACTTAAATAATATGAGAATTGATTTGACATGAGTTTTCAACATAAATTGTATTGAAAACAAAAACCTAGATAAAGAAATTCCCTGATTAATGAGTTGATTTAAATGAAGCTGTGATCTTCTTTGCCGTTGACCATATTAATATCAAGTCAATATAATCTTTTTATTTGAAATGTGAGCTAATATGAAGCTACCGAAATTATTCTTGCCAATGGGGGGTAGTCCTTCATACTTTTCTTATGCACATGTTTTGGATTACCTTACATAATCATAATATAGTTGGTAAGAACCTTTTTTGGAATAGTAGGCAAACAACCAAATAGCGGGGCAAGGAAGAGAATCATGTGAACTTGTTAAGTTATGCAATGACTATACTAACTTTTAACTATACTAACGTTAATACCTGCATAGTTATATGTTGTAAAGCAATGTTTGTTGCAAAATCATGCTTGTCAGGGAAAGATTTAGCTCGGTGCTGTTTCTACAGTGTTTGGTTGTCAACTTGTTCTTTCCAATTTAATTTATCATCAATAAGTAGTTTCCCCATATATGTATGGATCTATTTCTTTAATATCAGTTTTGTTACTCCAGAACTTGTGTCTGAAGCCATTGGCTAAAGCTACTCATAAAACATTTAACCAATACAATATACATTACTAAGAGTTTAGGAAATTCTGTCTTTTTGGTAAGAAATTTGTTAGTTTTTCATATTTCACTTATTTCTCAAATCAAAAACTAATATTTTGTTTTATTTTAGTAAAAAATGTTTCATTATTATACACTATAGAATATGAAGTTGTCATAAAACATGAACAACATCTTACTACTGGCTGTGCCGGGTGGCTCATAACTTTACAAGGCAATATCAGGTTGGCGCAATGACAGGCAGACAATATTTCTTAAAATTAATCAATGTAAAGCAGAAGTGTTATTATTTTAATTAAAAGTAATAAATGTTTTTGGTTAAAAAATGTAACATGTGATATATTGATTGTTGTAGCTATTTTATTTTAATTTTGGGACAACAAACAGCTAGTTCTTCCCTCACTGTAAGTAGCTACTACAAACAAAATTATTAAATATTTATTAAATAGTGAATAAGTTTTACATTTAACTATCAGGTTTCCTTTAAAAAATTATAAATAAAGTAGGTAGTTGAACAAAGCAGATATTCATAAAAAACATTGCTTCCGTACTTTTATGATAAGTGTTGTGATAAACTAGTTTGCAACTGCGATTGTTGAATCTTATCTCTTAACTAGTTAGGACAATATTTATATCTTGCATGTAGAAATTATCAATGATGTCTGTAGAAATGTGATTTGTTTGAAAGGTAAAATTTTGCATAGGTAGAACGCTGAGACTAAACCTACTACAGAATATCCTGCCTATTTATCTTGGGAAATATTCATTGAACTTATTTGCCTTATTGATAAAGGCATATGAAATAGACAATAAAATAAATTAAATAGACAATAGAATTCCTTAATTAAATTGTAACGATTTTTTTCTGTCCACCTGTGAAGGATAACTCATTATCTGTATCTTTATAGTTATTGATTTTATCTAACTAAATGTAACTAACAATTGATTTCCTTAAATAAATTTCAATTACTATGTGTTTGTAGAATACCTTGATTGTTAATTTCAATAATGATCATTTGAGTATCATGAGGAATGGCCAGTCGTCAAATCATTTACTTTTTCTTTATGTGTACGATAGAATTATTCCAGAGAATATGATGAATGTCAGAAGTTGATCAGATAACAGAATTGAAAAAATTCTGTCTAAGACATTTCTTAAAATCATAGCTTGTTTTCGTCTTGGACATTAGTAATTTTACTAAGAACTATATTTTTGTGACACTGAATTCAAATTCAAATTCAAATTCAAATTTATTTATTTGTGAACATAGGTTATTACAATTGGTGTTACAAAAAATATTTTTTATGATCTCTATGCCCTACCATATCGGTGTACAAATTTTATAGAAATGAAAGAATACAAACATATACAGGCTTAATTAAAGTTTAAAATACAATGATTTTCAAAATAGGTCAATACTTAAATGTCTACAGTCAAGCATAACATGGATCAGAATAAAATAATAATTAAATACTATTGGATTTGTCATTAAGGAAAGAGTCAATTGAATAATATATTTTTTCTGTCAAGAACATAAACAGTCTTTTCTTAAATACATTAATATTGTCAGAATCTTTTATATATTTAGGAAGTTGATTATAAACTTTTGGAGCCATTGCGAATATGCTTTTATGAAACATTGCAGTTTTGCACGAGGCTAAATGTAATTTATCAGCTCTACGAAGGCTACTTACTTGCGAAAATTTTGAAAGGTTACGTCTGACGAACAAAGCAGTTTCAAAGATATATAAACAAGGCAACGTTAGTATATTCAAGCTTTTAAAGAAAGGTTTACAACTATCAGTTTGTTTCAGATTACAGATAGCTCTAACACACCGCTTTTGTGCAATAAATACAGTTTCTTTCCCAGTCGCATTACCCCAAAACATGATACCATATCTCAAGGTTGACGCTACAAGTCCATGATAAGCAGTTAGAAGCGTTGATTTACTGACTGTTTTTCTTAACATATATAGAGCATAAGAATATTGATTAACTTTACTACATACTTTTTCTATTTGAATATCCCAACATAATGTATTTTGTATATGTATTCCTAGAAATTTTGTACTATTTGTTTCAGCAATACGTATGTCATTGTAACTTATATTTAGGTTTAATTTATTGTTTGTTCTTTGTCCAAATTTCATAATTAAAGTTTTGTCCAGATTAATTTTTAAATTATTACATTGTAACCAATTTATTACAGATTTTATATTATTGTTTATGTCACATTCAAGTTTGTCATATTCATTATTATCAAAAACTATTGTACTGTCATCAGCAAACATTATCATAGGGTAATTTGTAGACGTGGGGAAGTCGTTGATATAGATAAGAAATAATAAAGGTCCGAGAACGCTTCCTTGGGGTACTCCGTGTGTTATAGTTCTGTAATTAGATTCGTAGTTTGTTTCAGTTTTAGTTAAATTACATATTCTATTTATAACGGTCAATTGTTGTCTGTTCTTAAGGTAAGATTCAAGAAGATCATAAACGTTACCTCTTATGCCATACGAGTGTAATTTCCTGAGCAAAATGTCATGGTCAACGTAGTCAAATGCCTTGGACATATCCATGTATAACGCTAATACTGGCAGTCTTTTATCTACTCGTGACGTTACTAGATTTAAAAATTCATAAATGGCCATATCAATAGACATATTTTTTCTAAAACCTTTTTGTTTGTCAGTAAATAAATTGTTTTTTTCAAAATAGTCATTAATTTAACTGAAGTAAAAACCGAGGCTTAGGTGTAATTGTAGTGGTTGATCTCTTACTCTCAATTCATCATAAAGCTGCTATGAATAAAAATATAAAAAACCGTTTAATATACGGTCCTGAATTGCGAAGTTTTTATGGAAAACTTATTTTCCTGCTGTATACTCGTACCTCTCGGGCTTAGGTATCTTATGTTTGGTCAAGTTGCTCTCGCGATTATATTATTTTCTTTTGTACAATATCTTCATTCATCTATGGCTAGCGTGATGAGTTCTTTATAGCAAGGTGTCTTTACACTTTGGTTACAACTTAAAATTGCGACTGCATTAATGAACAAGTGTGATTACTATTTCTATTATCCAAGCTTGCATTCCACTGCGACTGTTTATTAGACATGTAATTGAGCTTGTTAGTCAGAAATTTTTTCTTATAAAAATATAAGTGGAGTACCCACTGCATGAAACACTTAAAATAGAAATGTATATAATATATATATAAAAAAAATACTTTTATAATTCATGTGATAGCTTCGAAGTCAGTGTCAACAAGGGTGTGTGTACCAATGGTATATTGTTGAATTGATTTGTCCTTGTCCTCTTAGTTTTTTGAAAGTTGGTAAAAAATGACCACACTACAATTTTAGCTGCTATTATGAGCAGGACAATGTCTAGACCAACTACCAACCTAGTTCATTATACTGATACATATTATATAGCAATATTGATTTCATCATAACAAAAAGCAGTTTCAATTCGAGCCATGGTTTGGGTTAATCTTGTTAAGATTAGATGAAACATAATTGTCCCGGTTAACAATGGGTTACATCTTTTTATTTTTTGTATCTGGATATCCCATAAGTTTGTTCTCCCATATTCCAAATACTTTGCCTCTGAGTAGCACAGCCAATACAACTTCAATTGGTTACACTATTTTCAACAAGATGGTATCCCAATATAGTTGAATATAGCCTCAAATAAAGACATACCTAATTATGATTATTATTGTCTGTAAATTCTCTCTACTTTTATAGCTGTATAATATCATTAAATTATTTCTGTGTGAAATATGTATAGGCAC